TTGAGAAGTCATAAATCACTGTTGTTTTAAGACACTGGGATGATTTATTACACAGTCTGAGACATACAGAGATATATGATCTGGACTCTTCTAGTCTCATTTTCATGCTGCCTATTTCTTTACCATCTGGACTTTACTAGTCTCATTTTCATGCTGCCTGTTTCTTTACCAGTCCTTCCCATCAGAGTAAGTGATGTTCCCAATTACCCTGTTATTTGAGTTAGAAACTAGGTCCTCATCCTTGATACCTTTCTCTCCCCTCCCTACATCCACCTATCACTAAATCCCATCCATTCTTTCCCCAAATTTTATGTCAAAACTGTCTGATTCTCTCCATCTCCATACCATCCTAATCTAAGTCTCCTTCATCTCATCTCTTGCCTGAATTATTCTAACAGCATTCTAACTAGTCTGCCAGTTTCTCTAATCCATTCTCTACAAAGCAGACTGTATGTGTGTGTGTGTTAAGCAGATTTTGGTTTTCATTGTGCTTAATAGATCCCATCATATTTATAATTCACACTCCATAATGGCATAGAATACCCTGCATGATCTGGTGACTGCCTGTCTCTTAAGTCTCAACAAATACCGTTCGCCCCGTTACTAGGCTTCAACCATGCTGGCCTTTTAACAGTTCCTAGAACTCGTTTTCTCCTAAGCTTTTTTGCCCGACTAGTTCTGTGTAGTAGGTTGAAAAGTGTCCCCCCTGAAAAAGATAAGTAGACACTCAGAATGTGACCTTATTTGAAATAAAGGTCTTAGCAGATGTAATTAAGTTAAGAATCTTAAGGTGAGATCATCCTTGATTAGCCTGGGCCCTAAATCCAATGAAAGTGTCTTTGTTAGACACAGAAAGACAGAGGACACAGAGAGACACACGGAAGAAGGTCATATGAAGATGGAGGTAAAGAGTAGAATTATGCTGCCACAAGCCAACGAACACTGGCAGATGCTGGCAGAGACAAAGAAGAATCCTCTCCTAGAGCCCTTGGAGGGAACATAGTCCTGCTGACACCTTGATTTTGGACTTCTGGCCTCTGGAACTGTAAGAGAATAAATTTGTCTTGTTGTAAGCCATCAAGTTTTTGGGAATATGTTATGGCAGCCTGAGGAAGCTAATGTACTCTGTCTCATCTTTTAAGACTCAGCTCCTTGGAGACACTTTTACTCGGAGATCCATCTAAAGCTCTAAAGGAAGTCCTACTACTACTAGCTCCCCCATCATGTTTTCCTTCTTTATATCTTCCTTATTCCTATAAATTGTAATTATTTAAATGATTAAAAATGATATTTAAAATTATATTCTCACATTGAAAAAATCTCTCTAGGCTAAAATTGTGAAGAAGTTTTGAACATTGTTTTTTTTTTTTCATTCCTCTAATTCTGTGGCTAAATTAAGAACCATTGGAATAGTTCTTTGATCTTCTATGCGTGCCTTCCCTTGGTAAAGAGATTGGTTCATTATGTTTTATTTTAAAATTAATATATTAATACCCACATATCCAAAGTTTAAAGGTTGATATGTAGTTTCCAAAATAGTTTTTCTAAAATGTTCATTCTTAATGAGTTTTATTTATTTCTTTATAGTTTCTATTACTAAATCTATAGCAGTTATTTCTCCAAATTAAAAATAAAGGGAAACCTATTTAACTATGGGAAAACAGTGTTTAATAGTAACACTGCTCAGCATCAATGCTCAAGAGTTGGAAAAATGGAAATTATAAAACTTATCAATAAAGTCATAAACATTAAACATTTTAAACATTAAAATTTTTGCCTAAGATGTATTTCTATCAGACCGTTAGATTAGAGATTTTACATTTTACTTATGTAACTTTTTAATAATAAAAATCCTATTTGGTTACTGATAAAATTAATGTGTATATACACAGATACTTTCTGTTGGATTTAGAGGTGTGTATGGGGTGATGGATGGTGTACAACAGATTATATGAAGACCTGTTTTTACTAGTTATAACACTGTACCTAAATAACCACTTGTCAGGGAAAGTTGACATCTAAACTGAGACCTTAAAGGATTACTAAAGAAAGAAAGGAGGAGAAGGGGTTGGGAGGGAGTGTGAGTTTATGAGAAAGATAAAGATGTGAATACTCCCTTGCCTAGCTGTATAGTTTGTTCTCTAATATACAGTTGTATTCTTAAGAAATTTTGAATTACCAAAAATCATATTACCACAGCTATTAATTTGATATGGATAAAAAGCATTAATGGTTTAAGAATAGCAATCTCAATTTTCTTGTGGCAATTTCTATAATAAAGATGTTTTGATAGCTACGTAAGAGTGTAAACAGTATATAAACCTAAACAGTTGTTATCATGTAGTGGTTAAAGCTTTGGCTTTGGGATTAGTGAGTCAGTAAGAATGCTTTTAGCTCCAAATAACAGAAAGTCCTATTACAGTGGGTTAAACAAATAGCATCATCCCCCGACCCCCATGAAAACAAGTTAGGCAGCTGCTGGTGGAAGTTGAGTGGCTCACAGATGGCTATCTCTGAGATTCTCTTGATCTTTTTTTTTCGTTGTTGCACAGTGGTTGTGGAGCTGTAACTGTTAAAAATAGCAAAGAGGTAGCATTTGTTTCAGAAAGCAAAAGTTAGCCCACAGCAAACCTCTGCTTGCGTCTCATTGACCAGAATTTTGTCATATCTACCCTTGGCTGGAAGGTGGCTAGGAAGAACTGGGCTGGGAATGGAGTTTGGGTCAACCAGTCAACAGTGTCAACCAGAGTCTGAGTTACTGATTTTTAATCTCAGCTCTGCCATTTATTAGCTGTGTTATAGTCAAGTTATTTAGCCTTTCTAAGCCAGAATTTCTTTATCTCTAAAGTGAGGATGAAGAAGATGATTATTGTTATTAAAATACTACTCCTATTCCTCCTACTCCTATAAAATGAGACAATGCATGTAAAAATCTGAGCAATGTGCCAGACAAGGGAATTGGTGCTCACAAAATATTAGCTGTAGTTATATCATCATCATCTTCCATGTCACCACCGGCTTCATTCTTTCATTTTATTGAGGTAAAATTCACGTAACATAACATAAAACTGACCATTTTAAAGTGCACAGTTCAGTGGCATTTAGTACATTCACAGTGTTGTGCAACTACCACTTCTGTCTAGCTCCAGAATATTTTCATCACCCCAAAAGGAAACTTGGTACCAATTAAGAAGTCTCTACTTGCTCCCCTTAACCAAGCTCCTGGCAACCACTAATCTGCTTTCTGCCTGCATGGATTTACCCCTTCTGAATATTTTGTGTAAATAGAATTATGCAATATATCACCTTTTGTGTCTCACTTCTTTCATTTAGCTTGTTTTTGAGATTCATCCATGTTGTAGCATGTATCAGTGCTCCATTCCTTTTTATGGCTGAATAATATTCCATTTCTATAGAAATATTCCCTTTTTCTTTGTTCATTGATCAGTTGATGGGCATTTGGGTTGTTTCCACCTTTTGGCCATTGTGAATAGTGCTGCTCTGAACATTCATGCTAAAGTATTTGTTTAAATACCTTTTTTTGCTTCTTTTTATTATATACCTAGGAATAGAACGTCTGGATCATATAGTAATTCAGTGTTTAACTTTTTGAGGAGTTGCCAAACTATGATTTGCATTGTCTGCACCATTTTACATTCCCACCAGCAATGTATGAGAGTTCCAGTTTCTTTGCATCCTTGTCAACACTTGCTATTTTCTGTTTTTTTTGATTGTAGCCATCCTAGTGGATATGAAGTTCTATTTCATTTGGTTTTAGTTTGCATTTCCCTAATGACTAATGATGCTGAACATCTTTTCATGTGCCTGTTGGCCATTTGTTTATCTCCTTTGGAGAAAGAGCTATTAAGATCCTTCACTCATTTTAAAATCAGGTTGTTTGTCTTTTTGTTGTTAAGTTGTAAGAATTCTTTATTTATTCTGGATACTAAACCCTTATCAGATATATTATTTGCAAATATTTTTTCCCATTCTGTAGGTTGTCTTTTTACTTTCTTGATAGTGTCCTTTGATGCACAAAACTTTAATTTTGATTGAGTTTGAATTATTTTGTATTTTATTGCTTGTACTTTTGGTACAAGCATATCTGAGACTCCATTACCAGATCCAAAGTCATGAAGATTTATTCCTATTTTTGTCTAAGAATTTTATAGTTTTAGCTCTTATGTTTGTCTTTGATCTTAAGGGATTGATTTTGGATGAGTTTTGATCCATTTTGAGTTAATTTTATGTATAATACGAAGTTAGGGCCACGAACTTCATTCTAATCACTGTTATCACCTGTATTACCCATTATTATGAAGCATGAAGTCACTCAAACAAAACTTCTGAATTGTTTTTCTAAATACCTTTTTCCCCATGAATTCAACCAGTGGTAGTTTCCTTCTTAATTTTTATAATTGAAAACATTCTGCAAAATGTAAAATGTGTTCCCTAATTAGCTGATCCCATTTTATCCTGTGTGTAATAGAAAAACTTGAGCTCCATTAGACATATCTATAGTAGGTCTGGGTTTTTTAATTTGTAAAATTGGCAGGAGTGATTAGTAAATCTCTGTTTCTAGGTTTAAAATTTTCCACTGATTTTGACCATTGAATTTGCTATTGAAGTGTAGTCAGTGGGAATATGTAATTGTTTCTTTTGCATTTGAATCTTCTGTTATTCAGCAGTTTATTCATCGTCTGTTATGTCTTTTATTGAATGCTGTTCCTGGATTAGACGTTATCTTTCTAGCCTTTTTTTCCCTCCTCATCTACAGTGTTCAGGGTGATGTAGTTTCCTGGGAAAAAGTGCTGGTGTTGTGGTAGCCTATATAAGGCTGTTGTGTACTATTCTTTAGCATTAGGAAAAAAGAGAAACTTCTCAGTGCAGGATGGACAGGATGGACCTTATGTGTAACTGTCCAAAATTTTAACTTTTAAAGTTGTCAGACTATCTGTTTTAAATGGAGGGGGATATAATTTGGTTGTTCCTTTTTGTAGTACTTGATTCTGAAGCTTGAAAGGCCTGCTATAGTCCAGAATATCACATTTGGAAAATATGAAAAAACTCATGTCTGCAATTTGAAGAAATTTAAAGTCTTTGGTGGAATGAATGAAGAAAATATGACAGAACTATTGTCCAGGTGAGTTATGATTATGAGGAGGAAAGAGTTGTTTTCTAAACAAGCTGCAGTCTTAGTCTTTTTGTAGCTAAATGTGCATGATTTAGTTTTTCAGGGGAGAAAAGAATATTTCTACTATTCTATTTCTAGTGCCTTATTTTAATATTGTGGCTTGAGTCAGCTTTTTTTTTTTAACCACCAGATACTAGTTAATATTGTTACCAAAGAAGAAAGGATAAAATGTTTTGTTTTTTTCTTACTTCTTATTTTTCAGTCTTGGTTTTGAACTGTTAATGACTTTAGAAATAGTTTAATTAAAAGCCTCAATCAGAATCTTTGCTATAAAAATATAGACTCTATCTAAAACATTAAGATTGATTGCCCTAATCCAGAAGTAATATTCTGGGAGTTTATAAATTGTAGACTAAAAAAAGAAAAAGTAAATGATTGCACCTAGCTCAGTGCTTACCACTTGGAAGCAGCTCAGTAAATTTGAGTTTTAACAACATAGACCACCAGGAATGAAGGTGTTAGTTTGTACCCTACATAGTGAAAAATCAGATAGCCAAAGGAATGGACAAATAAAGCTATGGAATTTTAGAATCTATTTATGACATGGTGTGTCCCATTAGAACAATACTTAAATATATAAATATTATTTGCTTTTGATTTAAGTCATGAAAGTATTTCAGGACATAAGGCAACTTGAGGGTAAGTGGCTTTCCCATAAATGTGTGTGTCACTTTCAGTTGTTTAAGTAGAGAGGTGATAGGGTTTATTTTTATTTAGGATAAGGTGGATGCTATTAAACTAACAGAGTAAGATTGTCTTTGAAAATTTGATGATCTTTAAAAGAAACATTGGCTTCTCAATGAGAATTAAATAACTTAATTCTTTGACAAATTCTAATACTTGGCTCTAAGTTGTAAGATATGCGTGTGAATTGTGTTTTAATTTTCTTACTGCGTGAATATTTTATGTGAAATACTCAGTTGTACATTAAGGACACTGGGTCCTATCACACATTTCCATGTACTGTAGCCACGTTCTTTAATTAACACTGAACATTTTTCGTTAGCCCTCATATAATTAAGAGAATACAGTTATAATGGAGTTGATGTGAATGTACAAGTTTTGACCTATATTCTCATGTTCAACTACTTCTTTACATTGGATTGGTCATGTATTTTGAGCATTGGTTTAAACTTAAAATCTGAGTATGATATTAATCTGTGTTTTAGTGTGTTTGCTAAATTACAAAATCAGATTTGATAACCTTTTTTTTTTCACAGTGGCCTAAAGAATGATTATAACAAAGAAACATTCACCTTGAAGCATAAAATTGATGAACAGATGTTTCCTTGTCGATTCATTAAAATAGGTAAGGTTTTTAGCATTCTGGGATAGAAATAAATTCTTTATATCATTAGTCAGCAAACTACAGCTTGTGAGCCGAATTGTGCAGGCCACTTGTTTTTTTTAAATAAAATTTTATGAGAACATTGCCATGCTGGTTGGTCACAAAATGTCTGTGTCTGCTTTTGTGCTACAAAGGCAAAGTTGAGCAGTTGCAAGAGACCATATAGCCAAGAAAGTCTGGAATATTTACTGTTTGGATCTTTACAGAAAAGTTTGCCAACCCCTGCTTTATAAATTTGTAGCTAAGTGACAATTATTTCAAGTGAAACCTTTCCTAAGTATTTTCTCATTTTGAAAATTTCTTGAGTTTTATGAGATGAAGTGATTTGATTGCCTTGATTGTTTTATGAAAGGTTTATCAGTTGTAAAATTATAACATTCTAAAACCAAATACTGATGAATTCCTTAATACAGTGTAGTATGGTTATTTTCTATTCTATTCTTTTGTATTCCTTTTTTTTTTTTTAGTGAAATGTTGGTCAAACACATAAAACTAATTTCATGACCCTCTAATAAGTTGCAAAATAATGTTTGAAAAATACTACCTAAGGCCTATATTTATTAACCCAGTATTTTAGCTTAAAGTATTTGTAATGCCTCCTCAAAATTAGTATTTTTACAGTTATTTTGTTTTCCTTTAAGATTTGTTATTTAGAAGGTAAGAAAATTGAGGACTTGAATCCTTTAACTTCCGTCTGTGTTGCATACCTTTGAAAATATTATGTTAAAATTGAGGTGAAAGTGAATCAGATCCCTTAAAAAATAATAATAAAAGCCAGAAGCCATGTTTTGACTTGGGAGAAATGCTCCTCTTTTAGAACAAGCAGTGTACTTCACAGTCATTGTTTGCTGATATATCAAGAATTGGCCTGTTCATTTCATTGAGTCAGATAGTTCTATTGGGCAAAAAGAGTATCTGAAGTCTTAATAAAGACTACTTATAGAGGGAAAACTATTTATAGAATAGTTGGCTGTCCAGTCTGTTACTTTCTTTTGTAACTATAGTTTCTGTTCTTATAATAAATAATTGTAAATAAAAACCTGTGTCCTGTTTTCCTGTGAGAATTTATGAAGCACATTTTTTGAATGAATTTAACTCTTAGTTGTTTCTTCTTTTGCAGTAATGAATAATTCTTTCCTCAGTATGCAGACCACCCAGTTCTTACAGACCCTTGCTTAGCTTTAAAAATTCACTGGTCTTATATTTCAAATGTACAAGCAGTGAAAAATCTTATATTTTCATATAATAAATTTAGGTCTTACAGTTTTAAAGTACTTATTCAACTTCTGTTTTGCTTATTCATGCAAAATGAAATATTCTCTCTCTTCTTTTAAAATTTCTTTAATTTGTGCTTTTTTGTTCATTTCCTACAGTCATTAGTTTCCTTTGAAGGAAAGTATCTACTACTGCTTCTATAGTTCTCTATCGTCTAGTATTATTCTTTAGAAGAAGTATGAGTGAAAGTCTGTTTAGAGAAGTTGCCTAGTTCCTTCTCTTAAAAATTTGTAAGAAGAGAACAAAGATCTCTTATGGATCGGTTAGACATTCAGCTCTCTGAAGACAAGAAATTGGACCTCTTTCTAGCCCTTTCTATCGGCCTTTTAATTATAGGGCAAAATAGTGTCTTTTACTTGACCCTGGTGGGTTAGTTTTACAGTATTCAGGCAAAATGTTAACTAGAGCTTTCTACATAACTGTCACTAACTTACTTGATATTTGGGCTTTTCATATTTAGATAACTTCATATGTCTTAGTTTTCTGTTAAAAAGATGTTAATAGTGGTCTTCAGTGGTTGCTTTCCATCTGTTTCCCAATATTTTCTTGATAAGGTTTTTTTTTGAAAATAATATAAGGAAAATGTGAAACTAAAAGTCTGTATGTTGGGTTGGTATTTTTAGTTTGTCACCATATTTTCTTTAAAAGTCATTCTGATAAAGCACTTGAGTGATGTGTAGCTCTCTTGGTGGCGAGTTAGCACAGGTATTTGTTTACCTGGGTGGGATAAATTGATAGCATTTTCTTAAAAGAAAAAATGTGTTTGAATACTTCACACTTATGTTCTACAATGATATGTTTGAAAGATCTTGCTTTGTTTAAAAAACAAGTGTATCCTTAACAATTTCTATAGTCAGTCTTCAATTATCACAGTAATGGAGGGAAACAGAAGCAAGACTAACTCAATGGCAGATAATCTCCAAATCATGCACTGACATCGAAATATAATTTCCACTATAATGAATATAGCTTGTTCATTAAATTTGGCCTAAACCAAATTTGAGTAAGTTTGTACACAAATTGTTAACAAGGAAAATAAGCTTTCATTTTTACTGTATGGCAAGGGTTAGGTTTTAAAATCTGTTGTGGATAATCCAGAGTGTCAGCATAGTTGAACTGACCGTGAGGTAAATCTTACTTTCCTTTCTTAAGTTACTTTTTGTGTAAAATGAGTATGATAATACCTTCTCTGTCTAATGGTAGGGTAGGTCGCTATATTGGAGATTTTCTCGAGTTCTGTTCTAGTTTGTGGATCTGTGGTAGTCTTTTGAATTTTAATTTAAGATCATATTTATGAAGGAAATTATTTTATTTTGAATGTCTCTTTGTGCATTTATATGTCTTATTACATGTAGTATTTTAGGTACTGTAGAAAAAGAGTATGCACAAATATATTTTTAATCATCATGTTATTTCAACAATCATTATTTACAGGTTCTTATGTTCTTATTGTTTTTGATAGTTTGTAACTGCTTTCACATGTGGTATCTCATTTGAAGATTATACTGGCAGATAAAATCTTTCTTTTTTTAGTTGAGGAAACTGAGGGTAGAAGTCAAGTGATGTATCCCAGGCTACATAGCTAAGTAAGTGATGGGTCAAAGATACAGCGTTCGGTATATGCTTTTGGGTATGTGCTTGTCTTGCTTTAAAGCAGTAATAACAGTAGGTATCATTTATGAAGCATCTGCCTAACACTCTGTAAGGTAGATGTTATTATACTCACTTTACACGTGAGGAAACTGAAGTCCAGAGGTTAAATGACCGGGCCAAGACCATACAGGTAGTAAAATGTAGAGGTGGGATACAAACTTGTCTGTCTACATGCAAATGTTGAGCTCTGTTAATATGTGAAATGTGTAAGTTTTGTTTCCTCAGGTAGATTGTGAAATCCTTGGGGATGGCGACCGTCTTCTGTTTCCTCAAATTTCAAAAGCACCAAGGAAACTGCTTGCCTCATTAGAGATCTTGTATATGTACTTTTTGAGTTTGTTGTACAGGAATTTATAGGAATTAATAAGTGGCATCACGAACTTGATGGAGTTCTTCAACCTCTAACAAATGTATTTAGCATTTCCTTCAATTATGAATATAGGCAATAACTCATAGTAGTATTAGCAGTACTTGTTACTTGTCACAGATAGAAGTTATAAATTTTTCCCATCACATTACAATGTGAAAAATATTACCATAACTTTGAAATTATCATAATTATTAGACCTGCCACGAGATCTTGTTATCTAATTTGTCTAAAAAAAGCATATATATTTCTATGTCATAATTATTTTTTCATTATTTTTCTCACTATATTTCAATACAATTGTAATCCTATGTATTTTCCTTTATGCATTTAAATCTGAGGGGGATTGGATCACAGGGTTCACTGAACAGCCAAAGGGGGTTCATGGCGCAAAAAAGGCAAAGAGCCTATGTTGGAGTGATGTCTTTGACAGGAATTGGTGTGGAAGTTGTGAGTTGGCCTTAGGAAGAAATCTGGTTTCAGGTAACACCTATAAGTAAAAGGGAAATTTAGTAAGAAAGGAGAGTTAATTGGAAGATCAGATTCGAGAGAGCAAGGTAAAGGTTTGGAAGGGAAAAACTCCTTAGTGGGAAATTCCATCAGATGAGAGAAAACATAAAGTGGAATGGGATGTGGGTGTTGGTTACAGATGACTAGAAGAGTTTGCATCTTGATTCATAGCCAAGATAACAGATATATGAGGAAACTAGCAAGGTGAGGTGGTGGCAGGTGAGTCCTGGAAGAAGTGTGGGGGAGTCCTGGTTTTTAGTAGATGGGATGACTTGGACTTCTATGGACTTTTTGGATTTTTGCAGCCTGGGTGATTGTGGGAGCTTCAGGGAGAAGCTTTAGCTCTGACTGGCTTCAGCTTGCATTCTGGATCCTCAGAAGTATTTAAAAGTCTAAGCTGAGTACCAAGGCTGGGGGAGTGCCCCGATGGTGGACCTTCATGAGAGCATATGGAAAGGTGACATTTAAAACTACACTAGTAAGAGGAAAATTAATAATATAATAATGGCTAATAAGAATAGCTAACATTTATTGAGCACTAACTATGTGCCAGTTACTGTGCTAAGTGCTTTGTGTACTTAGCTCATTAATTCTGTAGTAGAATAGATGCACCCTTTCTGAGTGGTTAATCTTGAATTTTTAGGCTTTCCCAGAAACTGACCTTAAAATTACTAGCATCTTCTAAGAGCTAGCTGTTGAGCTATCTAGAAAAGAGCTTCTCAAGTGATACTGCCAAAGCATATTGAATGTGCCACAGATGTGTTTCTTTGTGTTGAGATGTTGACTCTGTCAATCCTAGAATGGCAGGAGCCTGCAGCCTAGTACCTTTGTGTGCCACAAAAATATTGTCATTTTCTATGCCTGCCGTTTTATGAAAAAGGGTGAAAAACACTGATCCGATCATATCTGTATCTGGTTATCCCATGGGGAAAACTGGCGGTTGAATCCTAGGATACAAACTCTCAGCCTTGGGATGTGTATTAGGAGTTGCTAATCTTTTTTTTTGAGGTGGGAGCAAAGGCATCTTTCGTTAGGCAATGAAGAACGTGTGCTTGGAGTTCTAATTCACATTTAGATTTTTGACATATAATACGTAGTATGTCTAATATGCATTACTAGTGTTGTTAATGCAAAAATCATTGGTAAAATTTGAAATGCATGTATATCATTCTGCTCATTCTGTATATATCCTTTCAGTTTGTCAAAAACTATACTCTTCTTTCATCTGCAATATAGATTATGTTCTTGTGAGATGACTTCCTAATTAACCTTTCTCCCAGCAGTGTTCTTTGAAGGGTGTTAAGAATTAGAACTAATTTTATTGTAGAAATATTTCTCTTGGGTTGTCAGGTTTATAGAAGAAATCTCACTTAAACAGAGTTGCTTAAAAGGTTTTAATAGGGGATGGCCCAGTGGCGTAGTGGTTAAGTTCACGTGCTCCGCTTTGGCAGCCTGGGGTTCATGGGTTCAGATCCTGGGTACGGACCTACACACTGCTCATCAAACCATGCTGTGGTGGCATCCCACATACAAAATAGAAGAAGATTAGCATAGCTGTTAGCTCACTGACAATCTCCCTCAAGCGGAAAGAGGAGGATTGGCAACAGATCTTAGCTCAGGGCCGATCTTCCTCACCAAAAAAAGAAAAAAAAAAGGGTTTTAATAAATGAACATTTTAATGGGACTTGAATAGATATAATAAGTGTTTTTTCCTCCTAATTTTATTGAACTTGGGCCTGGAAATTGAGAATGAATTTCAGATCTCTAATATTACTTGTCTTGTTATACTTATAGACTATGTTCTTGGGGCCTTGGGTTTAGAATCCTATTTTATTCTGACTTATACTGCTTGATGATTATTGCTGTGATATGGTAGATGAACTTTTTAAATGGTACTGCTACATAAAGAAATGAACACCAAATGATGATAATTTAGTATTTGTTGGTATAAGACTTTTTGAAATTTTTCTTGTTTGCACATACAAACTGAAAGCCATGTTAAACATCCCAACAGTCCTTCATATATCCAAATACTGATTCACGCTGCCTGTGTCTATTCTTCACTCACACAACCACCTTTAGATGACAGTACAGGAAAGCATCTGACCTAGTACATCTTAGCTCCTCATTGAGTCTGGTATGCTAAAAAAGAGCAGTGGACTTAGAAAGCATTAGACCTGGTGTCAGATATTGTTGATAGTCTGTTTTGATACTTATTCAAAACTTGACAAGTGTTAGTTTCTTCAAGGTAGTTATATTATTCACTCTGAACTGTATCAGTGTTACATTAAAATCCATTGGGCTGTCCTGCACTTTGAATTAATCTTTATCCATGCATAGTTTTGTAACATCATTCGTTGGTCATTTAGAAAATATGGTTCACTGAGTTATGCAGATCTTCCAAATGCCGAAACATTTCATTATATAATATTAAAAAAATCACGCTCATTAATATCGCTAACAATCTCATCAGAAAAGTCTTAAATATTGGAAAGTAGTTCAGCTCATAGTGGTGGATACCAATTTTCTAAAATCCTAATTTTCTCTTGAAAGCTTGATTTTATCCTTGGCAACAAATACTGTCAGTTGTTTTCCTTGAAATGACAGGTAAATGTCTGGCAAATACCCAAATCTAAATAATCATAGAAGTCTGTCGGCTAAGAAGTGGTATCCTACTAGGGGGAGTAGGGGAAATGAATGGCTGTTTTAGCTTGCAACTCAAACAACTGTCCAGGTCCTTTTCCTTGAGATTTGGTATGCAGCAAGAGTCTTTTATGTGTTCTTCCTACTGTGTCACATAGAATATTAAAAAGATGTGTACTTAATAATAATGTGTACTTATTAAAATTAATTTTTACTGCATAATTAGGGACATTCTGAAATGAATTGTCTCTTTTTTTCTAACTGCACATGTGTGATGATGAAGAATACAGTGCAATTTGTACTATATTAAGGAGTACTGGTACACTTTTATGCTACCACTTTTTATGGCCCTCCCAAGGTGCCAGCAGTTTTATTCACCATTGCCTTTGTACCATGAGTGCAAACGCCAGTACAGTTTTTTACAAAAAGGCTGGTAAAGTCTTAGTCTTATTATGAAAAATAGTTTTGACCTCACGGGATCTCCTGAGAGGGTTGTGGGGCTCCCCAGGAGCCCATGGATCACACATTAAAAACCTCTACTCTGTCTTATCATTACTGATATGAAATGTTGTCTTCATACTATGTTAATTCCTCTGAATCCTGGAGAGATTTTTGGATACACTCTTCTCCAATGATTTACCTTCCTTTGTCTTCACTAATATCAAACTTATAATTACTATATCTTTTTGGTATGTTTATTTTCTTATTTTTATTTTGGATGTTCTTGTGTAACTAATTTTTTTCAGATCAGCTTGTTCAGTTATGTCAAGAAAAAATGCATATATCCCATTTGGGATTTTGAGATTACATTAAATTTAAAATTAATTTGAGGGGAATCGACGTGTTTGCAACATTGAGTTTTCCCTTCTAGGAACTCAGTATGTCCTTTCATTTATTCACTTCTGAAGTAAAATTTTCTATTTTCTTAAAGAGATCTTGCATATTTTAAAGTTTATTCTGAGATATTAAAAATTTTTTTACTATTATAAAGGGGACTTTTTTCATTATGTTTTCTGATTGTTATAGGCATAGAGAAAGTTGATTTTCGTATATTTACCTTGCATACAAACTTTAAAAAAGTTTTTTGGTTAATTCTCATGAATTTTTTAGGTAGATAAGCTATGTCTTCAAATGATATTTGTGGATTTTTTCCTTATTGCATTGGCTAAGATCTCCCATATAGTGTTGAATAGTAGAGATATTGGACCTCTTTGTCATGTTCCTGACTTGAGTGGGAATACTTAATATTTCTCTATTTGGTTTAATTTTTGATACTTAAAAAGAAATCTAGGAAAGGAAGTTTTCTTTTGCTAGGCTCCTATTTCTTATGTATTAAAAGGTTGGGTGTTTTTTTTGTTGAGGAGGATTGGCCCTGAGTTAACATCTGTTGCCAATCTTCCTCTTTTTGTTTGAGGAAGATTTGCCCTGAGCTAGCATCCATGCCGTTCTTCCTCTATTTTGTATGTGGGTCTCTACCACAGCATGGCTTGATGAGTGGCATGTAGGTCTGCACCTGGGATCCAAACCTTTGAACTCTAGGCCACCAGAGCAGAGTGTGCAAACTTATAAAAGGTTTTTTTTTAATGAGTAGAAAGTAAATTTTATTAGCTTACTTTTAGCATATTGAAGTAATCAGATATATTTCTCTTTTCCTTTTTGAATGTGGTGAATTATATTAACATAGCTCCTATTATTGAATCATCCTTCCATTCTTGGAATTAGCTCTTTTGGTTAGAATCTTTTTGCAACTTTTAAAAAAAACTTTGAATATATATTTATAGCTGAGATTGGTCTTAAATCCTTTTTATTCCAGTTTTGTTTTCAGGGTTGTGCCACTTTGATAAGTGATTGAACTTTCCATCTCTTTTTCTGTTCTGATATCATTTAAATTATACAGCAGTTATTTGCTTCATGTGGATTTGGTAAAATTTGCCTGCTAAATCATCTAGTCCTGGTCTTGTGTTTTGGAGGGTAGATAAATGACCACTTTGATTTTATCTTACAGTACTTTTTTTTTTTTTTTTTGGCAGAAAACAATTTTGAATTTTATGAATGAGGTGCTCTAAACAACATCTTTTAGCCCATTGTCCCACTTAACAGCTAATTCACTGGAGTTCAGTGTGCTGTAATTTACATTTCTCTTCCCCATTGACAGCACCAGGCCTTGTGTTCTGTAACTGACACAAGTTGGTCATTTTCAGGGGTGTTAACAGTGCTTTTGTAATTAAAGAAATCCCATGATGGCCTGGATTATAAGTTTCTTTTTGCTGCGGTAGCCCCAGCTCCTTCCTAATAGTACAGTGCTAGACATATAGAAGGTATTCAGAAAATTTGTGGAATGGACCCTAATAGGCTTGAATAGTGATTTTACTCTCCCAGAGGTTTATTTGAACTATATTAATTTTGTGTTTTTCTTTTTTCTCCTCAAAGTTCCACTCTTATCTTGGGGACCCAGCTTTAACTTTAGCATCTGGTATGTTGAACTTAGTGGCATTGATGATCCTGATGTAGTACAACCATGTCTCAACTGGTATAGCAAGGTAGGACTGTATTTTAAAATCCTGATTTTATGTTTCTAATGCCTATAAAGGGAGAATTGTGTCAGTCTCTTGTCTTCATTGAGAGTAATTTAAAATATTGAGAATAGTAATAATTATAATGATTAATCAATGAACATTCATTAAGCATTTATATTTCTGAGCTTCTAAGCAATCTTTATAACTTACTCATTAACATTCTACGAGATAGGTACACTTATTATCCATATTTTACAGATGATGAAGTGGAGTACAGAGAGGTTAAATATTTTGCTTAAGGCCACATGGTTGTAGAGTGCTGAAGGCAGTATATGAACTCAGATAGTCTGGCTCCAGAGTCTGCCATTATATTATTATACCTATCTGACTCTGAATTTTGTTTTTAACCTATATTGATAGAAATATTTAAACATAATTTTTAGTGGGGTAGTTTTGGTCCTGAATTGCTTTTATAGTACATTCCTCCATTGTGTTTGTGTTGAATAAAAGAGCAATATTTACTTTTCCTTTTAAAGACCTAGAGTTTGAAATAGTTTCTATAAATATTATGATCTTGTGCTGATAGGAAGTATAAAATGATATTTAACAATTTTATTCATAGGTCATTTTATATAATAGATGTAGCCTGAAAAATGTGAATTTAAATTATTGAGAAATAGGTGTTTTTGAACACCTTTTATGCTTCATCTTTGTTTCCAATGTATATTTATTTGACCCTTTTGGCTATATTTTAGGGGGTTGGAGGGTGGGGGACTCTTCCTTGTCAAGGAGATAATACGGCTTTAGTCTAATCACCACTTCTGATGTCTTTATGTGCAAGTTTGGGTGAACTGATCTACTCCAAGAAGACTGGGAAGCAATACAGTTTCTTTTTGAGGTTTTTTTTTTTTGTATGGAATTTCAGCTCTTTTCTGTTCAGCTTAATTGAGGAACTTTTTGTTTGACTAATTTTTGGCATTTGGTTAATCAGTTTAAAATAGATGCTGACTTAGTATTGTCTGTATATTCTTGGATTTCCTGTAATATTGTTAAGTTCTTTCAAGGTAGAGACAATATTTTTAAAAATTAAAAATCACCTTTTCAGTGTTATAATAGATGCTTTGTATTTACTTAAATCTTCGAAATTCTATTGATTCTTTTAAAAAAATATATTTTATATTATATATATAAAATATATATTATATAATAATACTATATTATATATTATAAATATATGATATATAATTATCATATATATCATATAATTATTATGGTATATAATTATAATATATAATATAGTATAATTTATAGTATTATATTATAAAAATAATAATTTTCTGAAACTTGAATAAAATTTTCTCTTTAGCCTATGATGTGTGCTTGTGTTTTCTTTAATATACTCACAGAAGTCTCTTGTAGGAAATTGCAAATTTCACCTCTTTCCCCAACATTGTGGAAATGTTATATTTGAGAACTTGAAATTGTGCAGCCTCATTCACTTTTCAAGTTTTCGATATTTATTGTGAACCTCTAGAAATTAGATAAGGTCTTCACTCTCTTTGAGTTTCAATTCTTTTTGAAGCAGTAAAATTCTGTCTTCTCATAAATCCTCTCCTACTATGTATTTGTAATTAGCTTGATGAAAAATTTAAAATGTGGATATGATTCAGGCTCCTAAAGTCAACGTGATAAAAAGGTATTACTGTTTAATATGGTTCTAGATAGTTATGATAAATCCCTATTTAGAGGCCAATTCCAGGCGAATATGGGCCACCTTCCTTGTTGTAAAGATTTCATTCATTCATTCACCCATTCATTCATTCGCTAGCATTTTCTATGGGCCAGGCATCCTGGAGGTGCTGGGGATATGATGGTAAGTAAAACAGACATGGGCCTTTCGTTATGGCACGCGTGAATTAGGGAGGGATATGACTTTTAGCATCTTCTCATAGATGCAATTAGAGTTAGACTAGGGCCTCATAGTCCACTTAATTCAGGCCCTTACATTTATACATAAGGACCCTGAGGCCCAAAGGAGTTAAAGGAATTGCTCGGGCTCTTGGAGCTGCTGCTATTAGAGTGGAGAGGAGGCAAGAGCTTCCTTGGATTCTTGGATATAGAATCATTCTTTTGTTATTTGATGAGGGAAAATCTTGGTTAGCTATAGTGCTTAAGGAATAGTGTTTTGATAACCTTTTATTAATAAATCAACTATAAACTGATTTGTGTTTCAAGTCTTGTAAATCTTCTGCAGATAGTATTTTATTTTTTTGCCTTATTAAAAGATAATGCTTATTTAGTAAATCATGTTTTTGTTTGGTTATCATACATTGCTTCTATGTCATCAGTTTATTTTATTAATTCTTACTTGGAAATTTGTAGAAATCTCATAACATTCTTGAAGTTACTGTTTTTTATAAAGATTATTTATATAAGCTTGTTTTCTTGGCATTCATCCTATTAGGGGAGAGGTTGAGTAAACTGAGCATTCCTCTTTTTGGATTCTAGTTAATTGAGGCTTAATAGATGTTCAGTAGCTGAGGTAGCCCAGGTTTAGAAAAAAAATTATAAAATTTAAAGTCTCTTTCTGTGATTTTGAGTCATAAAACCTCTTTGTGAATTTGAAATGCATGAACATTTTATAATGTTTGTCATTCAGGTAATAACTTGTTACTAAGAGCCAAAAACAAAAAACATATAATTTATGTGTATTATTCAATGGTTTCTTTGCTTTCAGTACCAACATTGTAATCTGGTTAGTAAAAGCCATGGAAGTTATAATTTTTACAATCTTAAATGGGCTTTGAGAAATAGTCTTTCTGCTTCTTTTCATGAAAGTGCAACAGGCACTAGAATTAGATCTGGTTTCATCTTTTTATATCTTTCATCTTCATGAAATATATACCTGTGTATATATCTGTATATCTTCATCTCTTTCATATCTTTCTGTTACATACTTTGTGACCTTTGGCAAGTTATTACAATTGGCTAGCTTCAGTTTAGCCATTTAAAAGTGGAAATAATAATGATAGTAATGAATAGAGTTGTACAATGTTTAGCACATAGTAATTGCTCGCTTTAGGTTAGTTAATTGTCATTTACTATTTCCTATAGTAATAACTAAGCAAATCTCTTCTTTTCATACTCTCTCTTGTGTTCCAGTAGTACCGTGAACAGGAAGCCATTCGCCTTTGCCTCAAACACTTCAGACAACACAACTATACAGAGGCCTTCGAATCTCTGCAAAAGAAAACCAAGATTGCCCTGGAACATCCCATGTTAACAGACCTGCATGATAAATTGGTGTTGAAGGGTGATTTTGATGCTTGTGAGGAATTGATTGAAAAAGCTGTAAATGGTATGTTATAAACATCATAAGTTAGATTGGTTATTAGGGTGATTTCAAGTATATACAAGAAATAGTTTTTTAAAAATATAGGCTTATAGCCAGTTGTTAATGTTTGTTTTTTGGTTTTGTTCCTTTATACTCTGTAAAGATTGTTAGCTCCTTGCATTAGGGACTTCTTTTACTTAAGATAGGTCCATAGTGTAGTGAGACTTGAAAATCAAAAAAGAAACGTACTTGAAATCACATACCTAAATCTAGGTTGTCATCTTGGGAAACCATGCGCTTACATATGCAAGCATTGACTAACACTAAACCATGTTAGCAAAAGGCTTTTTTTTTTTGGAGGATTAGCCCTGAGCTAACTACTACCAGTCCTCCTCTTTTTTGCTGAGGAAGCCTGGCCCTGAGCTAACATCGTGCCCATCTTCCTCTACTTTATACATGGGACGCCTACCACAGCATGGTGTGCCAAGCAGTGCCATGTCCGCACCCAGGATCCGAACCGGTGAACCCCGGGCCTCTGAGAAGCAGAACATGCGAACTTAACTGCTGCGCCACCAGGCCAGCCCTAGAAAAAGGCTTTAATGTTACCTTCAGTATTAGTGCCCTATTCCTTTATGTATTTTTGTTGATAGCAAATTGTCGTTTTTTTAATGGTGTAATTTGGTGGGTGGGTGGATAAGCCAAAAAATGTTATTAGTACACAGTTATAGTGAATGAGGAGGTTTGTATTGGAAACATCTTCTGTGAGGTGTGGATGCTACATAATTGCTGATTTTCTTGGGTGGCTTATAATCTGGTTTTGAAAGAAACGTGAATGTTAGAATGTAATATAATCTCCCAAGGTAATTGTTTTGGAGGATGACACCAATTGAATATTTAAGGTCTGGCATGTTTTATTATTTGAAAAAAGGACATTGTTGTTTCTTTGTAGAATGGCATTCTTTTAAAAAATCTCCCACAGTGACTTTCATGGTGACAAAGAACAGAATAGGTACTTGTGGTATAATAAAAAAAATACATATTTGGTCTTTCGCTGTTCCTGGCACACAGCTCCTAAAACCCTTGGAATCTGTGGACTGCTAAGTGTCTTGTCTGCTGAGATGACTGGTGGCTGGGGTCTCTAGATAGCTTCAGATCTTTAGAAAGACCAAACCATGTGATTAGAGGGCTGGAACTTTCAGTCCCACCCCTGACCTCTGGGGAGGAGGGAGGGGTCAAAGATTGAATTCAGTCCCCAATGGCCAATGTTTAATTAATCATGCCTATGTAGTGGAGCCTCCAATAAAAAGCCCTATACAACGTGATTCAGAGAGCTTGCAGTTTGGTGAACACATTGAGGTGCTGGGAGGGTGGTGTGCTCTTGCCCTTTGCCTTTTTTCATTTGGTGGTTCTTGAGTTGTATCCTTTATAATAAATCAGTAACAGTAAGTAAAGTGCTTTCCTGAATTCTCTGGTCACTCTAATGAATTATTGAACTTGAGGGGGATTGTGGGAACCTCTGATTTATAGCCAGTAGATCAGAAGTACCGGTGGGCTGGGACTTGTGATTGGCATCTCAAGTGGGGGTTATCTTGTGGGACTGAGCCCTTTTAACTTGTGGAATCTGATGCCAAATCTGGGTAGATAGTGTCAGAATTAAATTGAATTGTTGCACACCTAGTTGGTGTCAGATAATTGGAGAAATGGTTGGTGTAAGAAAAAAACTCATATATTTGGTGTCAGAAGCATTGTGAGTAAAAACAGCTTAGTACTTAATATAAAACTTGTAGAATGAAATCTGGCACATCTTTTTGTAGAAAGAAATAAAGAATAATAGACCTTCTCACTGCTCTGCTTTCATATATTTTAATCTTATTGCTGTTATCATCCATTATTACAGGTGCTCATTTATCAGATATTGGTGAAATATTTTACAACGGAAGAAAGCAGAACCAGTACTGCCTTCTTTGAGTTTATAAATTTAAAGTTAAGTTAAATTGTTAGACTTGTACATTGTTACTACTTGTTTAGTTGATGATGTTACATGCAAATAAATGATTACTGGGTTTTAAATAGAGTATACTTTGGAGTATAAACACATAGAATATATGTGATTATTAATCTCTTGCCAAACCCTTAAAATGCCACTGGTGAAAGTATATTTGTCTGTTTGTATGGCATTTCTAAGAATGAATTCTGTATATTTTTAACTTTATAGGATGAGGAAGGCACAAGTAATTTTATGGGTTTTTAATTTTGTTTCAAATCTTTATTTTTAAGGCATTTAATATTTTGTTAAGGTAAAGTAAACAGCAACAACAAAAACCACTGGCAGCTTTATGTAATTTTTAGGCTAAAAATAGGTTTTAAAACTGTCTCTTTAGCAATATACTCATTTAAGAGAAGCTGTTAAAATTATGCAGCTCTGCTGCTACAAGACACTTAATTTATCCTTCTGGCTCTAGGAAGGAACCAAGTTTAGGGAAAATTGGTAGTAACTCTATTCTTGAGACTTAGAGCCAAGTCATATGTTTTCTACTCCTCAACTGGGTTGGAACAGTGTTTACTTAATAAACATTCCTTCCAGGGTTGTTCAGCTTGCTGCTGACTTCACTGATGATGATTTGTTGGACAAATAAGGAAGTAAACACCGCAGAGCTTTTTGGCTTCTGCTCCGCTGAAAACAGTAGAGAAGGGCATGAAGTTCCTGCCTGCTAAAGTCTAAGGAATCAAAAGCATCTTTTATCAAGTTTCCTATGACAGAGGAAACAAAAACTAGTTTTAGTATATTAGTATATTAGTATACTTTTCAAGTATACTTGCCATACACTTTTGAAGTATGGTCTGTATTTTAAGGAAGTGTTGGGCTGTATTTATTTCAGGCTTTCTATTTGCCTGCAAATATCCCTACATTTACGTTTAATTTCATTTGAGGTGATTTCTGAACCAATAATTGCTACTTCCTCTCTGACAATGCCGGGGAAAACAGGTAAAATCCACTGATGGAAGGCAAAAGTAATCACCTAGGAACAGGAAATACTCAAAGAAAACCTGCCTTTGCAGTATTTGTCTAGTTTACTGTTATAATAAACGTTTGCTTTTGTGAGATAAGGGAGGGGTAAAGTTTAATACAGTGGTCCTAAAGTTTCTCTCTCCCTTCTCACCCCTTGGTTTATGCAGTAGTTGTTAATGATGTGGTAGGTCTGTTTCCCTCTCCTTAGAATTTTTAAAAATGAGATCTCAATTCTCGTTGGAGTTACCTTTGTGGCAAGATTTTTAACTCCAAATTTAGTATTGTTAGTTGATACTGGGCTACCTGTATTCTGTATTTCTTCTTGAGTGAGCATTGTCGGTTTGTGTCTTTTGAGGAATATGCCCATTTCATTTAACTTGGTGAATTTATTGGTGTAAAGTTGTTCATAATATTCCGTTATTATCCTAATGATACCTTTATATCATATCTTATTCTTGATATTGGTAATTTTTGTCTTTTTTCCTCAGCAGTCTGGCTGGAGATCTATCAATTTTATTTTAAGAAAACCAGCTATTGGTTTCTTTGTATTTTCTCGTCTTTTCTCTCTCTCTTTTTATGTTTCATTGATGTCTGACTTTATTATTTCCTTTCTTCTACATTCTTTTGTTTTAATTTGTTCTTCTTTTTTCTAATTCCTTAACATGAAAGCTGAGACCATTAGAGATCTCTCTTTTCTAATCTAGGCATTTCGTGTTAAGAATTTCCTACTAAGGACTACTTTAGTTGTATCTCACAAGTTTTGCTATGTTGTGTTTTCATTTTGATTCAGTTTAGAATGCTTATGCATAATGACACATTTTTCTTTCCAACCCTTAGGCCTTTTTTCGCACTTACATTTTGTCTTTTGGCCAGGATATTTAGTGCAAGGTTGCTATGGCATAATGGTAGTGGATTTCCTTGTGTAGTTCATGTCAAAGGAAATGATTTCAGCATATCATTGTTAGATGTGATTTTGATGTGGAGTTTTTGGAGATCCTGTATCAGATTCCTAGATTGATAAGATTTTATGTTATAAATGGATATTAAATTTTATACTTTTTCTCTACCTTTTGTGATATGCTTTTTCTACCATATTAATATGTAAAATCATAGTGATTGATTTTCTAATGTTAAACTTCAGATATACTTAACTTTGTCGTATATTTTCTGGTCTATTTTGGGTTTAGATTGACTAATGTTTTGTTAGAGTTCCTCCAACTATTTTCATTAGTAAGATTGTCCTTGTAATTCTTTTTTCTCCTATGTTTCTCTTCATGTTTAGTATCATCGTTAGACTAAGATTGGCCCTGAGATAACATCTGTTGCCAGTCTTTCTCTATTTTGTATGTGGGACGCTGCTGCTGCATGACTTGATGAGCGGTGTGTAGCTCTGTGTCCGGGATCTGAACCCGTGAACCCTGGGCCACCGAAGCGGAGAGCACGAACTTACCCACTGTACTACATAGGCCAGCCCCTAATTTGCTGTCTTTTTATACTTATTGAGATGGATGCTTAGCTTATTAATTTTCAGAGTTTGTTATTCTCCTATATATTCCTTTAAGGATATAAATTTCCCTGTACTTATTTTTTAGTTGTACTGTGAGTATTTTCATTTTTGTCCAGTTCAGTAATTTCATTATGAAATGATATGTGTGAGCCATAGTTATATAGGAATGTAGTTTTAAATTTCCAAATACATAAAGGTTTTCTGATTATTTTCTTTGTTACAGATTCCTAGCATAAATGCATAGTGGTCAGATTACATACTCTGTACTGATTCCAATCCTTTGAAATTTGATGAGACTTACTATTTGGCCCACTTTGTTCAGTTTTTATAAATATATTCTTGGACAGAGTGTGAGTTCTTTAATGTTGGGGCAATGTTCTGTATATGTCTAGTTGGTCCACTTGGCTAATCATGTCGCATAAATCTGCTTTACCAGTAATGGTTTTCTGGCTGATTCTCTCACTTACTAAGAAAAATATGTTAACACGTCCAACTATGATTATGGAA